CCACCACCACCACCACCACCACCACCACCACCACCACCACCACCACCTTGGCATTCGATTGCAATTCCAAAACAGATAACAAGAAAAAATCCACGATAAATAATATGCATTATGACTCTAGGAAATGTAATTTTAAGTGCAATGATATATTTGACGTTTTTTCATAACAACACAAGAATTGGTTCACGAATAAATAGACAAAGTTTATCGCTAATATTTTTACTTGACTCATTATTTACACTTTAATTGTTCTATCATCTATCGGATGACTGAAAAAAGTTTGCTTTTATCATCGAAAACAAGACAAGAGGAAATAGTAGAATATTTCATGAATTAAGAGAATGTTAAGAATACAGGGCTAAGCAAATACAAGTTTCGCCCCTTCGAATACAAGTCCGAGTACTTTGATTATTTTGCCCACCTCTGCAACTAAGATACATGTGTTAATCATAGACTAAAAGCTTTATCTAATTCAAATAAATTATTTTAAAGTGTGTTTTGATTAGGGGTGTGACTTTATGTTTATTTTATAAAGAATAAATATACTCTTTATTTTAAAAATAAAGATAAAGAAACAAAGTAAATGTTTATATTTAAAAAATAAAGATACAGAAGAAGTTACTTTATTCTAAGAAAGAAAGTTAAAATAAAGAATAAAGAAATTTTTTGTTTTTAAAAATCTCAAGTTTTATCTTTTTCAGATAGCTCTCCAAATATTATAAGGACACAGACTAAAAAAGTTGCTACGCAAAAGTTTTTTCCATAAATCTTTTATATCTTATATTCATTTGCTAGTACTATTCCATATTGGAATGTTATTGATGATAAGAAAAACTACGATCAATATTACTTGTTTTTATATCAATTATTTATCTATCTACCTATGACTTGAAAATATTTTCTTTATTGTTTATTCTAACTTTATTTTACAGATATAAAGATTTACTTTATTTCCTTATCTTTCTTTTTTTTAAATAAAGTAACACTCCTAGTTTTGATGTTATATGAAACTATAGTAATAAGAATTTGACAGATATACAAAACAGCTTTTTGTTTAAATAGAAAAATTTCATGGAATTATCGCTGAATTAGTTCAAGAATCTAGTGCAATAAAAACAATTATATTCACTTAATCATACAAAAATATTTTCTAATATCATTTCGTACAATAATGGAGAATACGATTTGTTTGTTATCAATTAACATAAAAAATCAACAAGAAACAAACTAATTATTAGTGCGGAAATTATTTAAACATATGAAAAAACTGCTTGATGTGATTGAGAGTTATCGAAAATTGTTAGAAATTGCTGACAATCAAGAGAAGTCAATGAGAAACACTAGAAATCAATAAAAATTCAACTATACAGTAGTATATCTTATCGACAGAACATCTGATAGTGATTGGATAGCAACTACAATGGGTAGTGTATAGACTTATGTGAGATTTTTCTATAGAAACATATGATGTTTGACTAGAATAATATATGTCAATTAGATAATTCCATTTATCTAAAACACTCGTACATACCGTTGTGTTTTGATACTTTCTCATCTTTGAAATACATGTCTTTGATAGTATAAGCTGTTTTTAAGTTATAAACTATTTATTAATCATGATTATTTTGAAAGAAATATACAAAAAAAATAAATGATAAAATCTGGAATAATTTCTTATTTATATGGTAATTTAATTAATTGGCTATTAGGTATAACCAACAAATGTACAATAATTTACATTATTTCATTTTTGAAAGATTTCCAGTATGCTTTTAATTTCTATATCGAACATGTGTTGCTTGCTTTCTGTTTTGATATATTGTTGGAGCTACTCTATTTTGTTCACATCTTGACTGTTAAAGTTGAGTCTCATCTGAAAAAAATAAATATGTTAAAAGTTCTATGATTCTAAAATAGGCTTGTTCAAAAGAAATAGAAAATATCTTATAAATAGCTTACGTATTGTTGATTCGTACAGTTCGATTGTTGTCTAGTGCCGTTTTCGATAACAGAATTCTGACATAGGTTGTTTACCTATTAAAAAATTTACAAATTGATTGATAAAAAAATTAAACATAGTTGGTTAATTATGCTGCAAAATGAAAATGAAGATTTTCATATTTTAAATCGCTCAGATAGCAAGTTCTTCTTTGTATATTGTATGATTTTGAGAAAAACTTATCCTAAAACAAGAGTCAAAATATTCTCTACCGTAACATTTCGATGTTGATCTACGTCGTTTAGTTGTTCAGCATCAATATTCAATTCATCATCGTATTTTATGAGTATTCTTATATGTACTATTGGTTCTCTAAAAACGAATCATAAAATAAATGATGAAGCACTAATGGTAAAAAGAGAATATTCATCAACTAAATTTCTTTTTGTCTACTTTACACTTACTTGATAATACTTGATTGTTCTATTTCCGTTTGAGACAACATTTTTGAGTTATTGAAACTATATTTATTTGATAAACGTTTTTGAATATTTTTGCCATACTTTTCATATCTATGATAATCTACACAGATTACATAAAAGTTTACTGTACAGTCTTCTTCGTAGGCATACCGTCAGAGTTAAATGTCATTATCAAATTTTCTTCATTTGTCACGTCAATTTCATCATAATGGTGAGTTAGAGTATCGCAATCTATATGAATTTTAAAATAATCTTAGAAGGAGAGAAAATAGGAATGAGACTATAATATAAGAATGGACAATATGAGCAGTATATATACGTTACCTTTAGATTTCGAATCTTTAAAATGATAAGAGTCTTCGTCTAGAACAAGTACTCTGTTGTTTCTATAAGAGATAAAAAACAGATATTTTGAGTTTTGTAATCTATTCAAAGTGAAATATATGTGTTTGAATTTACAATTGAACAGGAGATCTTGAACGGCCAATGCATAGTTTAATCTTTTGGTTCAATGCGCATGCTGATTCGATATATTTTTTCGCCATTTCATATGTAACAAATCGTAAATCGTAAGTATTACACTAATGAAAAGAGGTATAAGAAAGGTAACTAATATATAAATAAATTGAATGTTATTATTTTACCATGGATGAAATTTGTAATAATCGATCACCTATTTGTACCCGTTTATTTGAGTGTAATATATCGATATGCTTAATAAATATCCCATGATCACTTAAACGATATAAAAAAATAAAAGATTTTAACAAAATAAAAGTTTAGATATCTATAATGTTTACTCTGGAATATATTCGCTTCCTATTCCACCAGTAATACGAATACCTAATCTTCCATTATATTGTAGTTCGATTATTTGAATAATTGGTGGTGAGAGACGACGTATGAACTAAAACAAAATAACGGAAAAAAGCATTTGTAATGAAGAATCTTATACATTCATCTCATTCTGTTTACCAATTTAATTTGCTTTCCAGATCGTTTTAGTATATCAACAACTGTTTCCTGTTTCATATTTGTAATATCAATATCATTTACACGTAATATTATATCATATAACCTGAAGTGATAAAATAGTGATAACAAAATACGTTTGATAGAATACAAGTTTCTTACTTTAATTGTTCAACTCCATCTGCCAAGACATTTTCATAAATATGTGAAATAATAATAGATGTGAAACAACTGTGAACTGGTTTATCAATACCACCACTGATAGTAAATCCCAATGATTTATCATCACTATTTAACTTCTAAAAAAATAAAGAAAAAACTCCAGAAATAATTAATATCGGAAATATTGTAAACCTTTTCAAGAATAATTTCTATTTCTTGCCAATGTTCTTTGTAATAAGATTGTGTTTTATTAGACATAGCCACAATCAGAAATCTATTAGTTATAGTTGTTTTGTGTAAAGAAAGAATGTTTACGTAGGAAATATTTTCGCATATAAAACTTATCTTCAATTAAAGAAAAAAAAAGAATATTTGATAAAAGGTGAAAGTATACAGAAACGAAGTAATATTTATTCAAATATTATTTTATTTCAAAGAGATTTTAACATACAAAAAAAAACATAATTTGATACTAAGTCAAAATCATGCGATTAATTTAAAAAACATTGTATTAGTTCCTCCATTATGAGCACAAACTTAGTTCTATGTAACTTAGTTACTAGAATTTTCGTCAAAAAATATGAAATTAAAACACAATTGCATTTTAGACTGTTCCATATACAGCTGACAGGTGTCGACCATCAAACTTGAGCTGAAATTTATCGTTACCATGATATTTATTTGTTCGAACATACCATTTTCCTTCAAATTGATTGCTTGTTTTATTCCATGTTAATTGAATTGTAACTGTATGTCCTAAGTTTTCTTTTTTATTACCAGTACCCAATTGATACTTTTTCGATAAACCTAATCGACTGGTTTCCAGCGAATATATTCCATTAATCGTAAATTTGCCTATATCGTCTGATCCTGTTCCTTTTACAGTCATCGAACTACTTTCGAATGTAAGAGAAAATCGACAAGGTCCATGCCATTTTCCATATTGAAAATATTGACTTTTCCAATAACCAGATTTAAACATACTAGTATCAGATTTAAGCATAGTAATATCAGATTTTTCTTGGTTACAACTTTTAGTAGTATCATTCATAATAAATTCTACATTTGTTTGGGATGGTCGACCTCTCCAATAGTTAATAGCACCAGTGATCAAATATACTAATCCAATCATACCACCAAAAATACTTAACGCAATAACTGCACTATAAAAACAATTATCACCGACACATGAACTACCACCGCCTCCTCCAGGAAAACCACCTAAAATATAAAAAGTGAGATTAAATATTTTATTTTTGTAGATGGTATAAGAGGTAAAAAATAAATTATTTTAAAAGCTAGAATATTTTACCTCCTCCACCGCCGCCACCACCTCCACCACCACCACCACCACCACCACCTTGGCATTCGATTGCAATTGTAAAACAGATAACAAGAAAAATTCCACGATAGATAATATGCATTATGATTTTAGTAAATGTGATGTGAACTACGATGATATACTTGATGTTTTTTGAAGACGATAAAAAAATTGGTTCACGAATAAATAGAGAATGTTTATCACTAGTATTTTTAGTTGACTCATTATTTACACTTTAATTGTTCTATCATCTACATGATGGCTGGAAAAAGTTTGCTTTTATCATTGAAAATGACACAGAATGATATGGCGTTAGAGAATGTCAACAAAGATCCATGTGTCAATCATAGAATAAAAACGTTATCTAATTCAAATAAAGTATTCTAAGATGTGTTTGGATGTCATATCAAGCTATAGTAATAAGAATTTGACAGATAGACAAAACGGTTTTTCATTTAAATAAAAAAATTTCATGGAATTATCGTTAAATTAGTTCAAGAATTTCATGGAATAAAAACTATTATATTCACTTAATCATACAATAATGGAGAATATAATTGTTTATTATCAATTGACAAAAAAAAGTCAACAAGAAACAAACTAATTATTAGTGCGAAAATTATTTAAAGATATGAAAAACAGCTTCATGTGATTGAGACTTACTGAAAATTGTTAGAAATTGCTGACAATCAAGAGAAGTCAATGAAAACCACTAGAAATCAATAAAAATTCACCAAATCATACGACATTTTTCTCTTATGATATAATTTTGTATTTGTTTGATAGATACATTACTAAACTATTCAAATTATTGTTTTTTCATAATAAATACGATTCATCAAGTAATATCCTTTCATATTCTGATTATCAAATAAATGTAATAAGTCTTCATCTGCACAGAAAAAAAAGTTTTTTATTTAACTAAAAACTTTGATATAATATTAATAAACATAATAAATAAAATAATATCAATAAAATTTAGTACAGTATGATATTTTCTATTACTCTTATTAATTCATAGACTTGGTTTTATAAAGCTTCATTGATACTTACACAGGTTCTTTCTAATAAACATGCACTGATATCGAAAACATTACTAGACAGTATTAAATCTTATCGACAGAATCATCTGATAATGATTGAATATTATCTACAATGAGTCGTACATATACTTATGTGAGATTATTTTATAGAAATATATAAGCAAGACTTTTCAATGTTTATTTTCTAATTTTTTATTAACATGTGTTCGTCGTTATTTATATAGAAATGATTCATGTATGAAAATTACACTTTCTCATATGGATGAAGTTGTTGTTGTTCACGAAGTTTGAGCTTAGACATGACCCAAACCCAAACTGTTTGGGTTTGGTGAGTTTGGGTTTGAGTATTGAGTTTGGGTTTGAGTTTGGGTATTGGATTTGAGTTTGAGTTTGGGTTTGGGTATTAGGTTTGAGTTTGAGTTTGGGTTTGGGTTTAGCACCAAACTCCCAAACAGTTTGGGTTTGAGTTTGGGTTTGTGCTTTTTTTAATCTGTAAAAGGAACTATTTTGAATAAATTGATTGCAGTTAAAAGTAGACCCAAACCCAAACTCAAACTCAAACTGTTTGGGATTTTTGGTACCAAACCCGAACCCAAACTCAAACTCAATACCCAAACTCAAACCCAAACCCAAACTCATGAACCCAAACTCAAACTCCCAAACGGTTTGAATTTGAGTTTGGGTTTGGGTCATGTCTATTTGAGCTCAAATTTACCTTCATCATGATATTTCTTTGTTTGCACGTACCATTTTCCTTCAAATTGATTATTTTTTTCATTCCATGATAATTGAATTGTAGCTTGATGACCGAAGTTTTCAGATGGATCACCAGTTCCTATTTCATATTGCTTTGTCAGGCCAATGCGATGTGTTTCATTTGAGTAAGTACCATCAATAGTAAATGAACCGATATGATCCACTCCTGAACCAGATACTTTCATTAATTGAGAGTTAAATGAAAGTGAACATCGAAAAAGTCCATGCCATCGACAATATTGATGATAATGAGTGGACCAGATACCCGATTGGAACTGATACCCATTATAGATATTTTCATGGGAATTTTTTGAAATTCCTTTATTAACAAATTTTGAATTTGTTCGAAAAGGTCGACCTTTATAGCGTTTGCGGCACCATAAGACACCCACGATTAGCAAGAGTAATCCGACCAAACCTCCAACACAACCTGCGATAATATAATGACTATATGGACATGCATCGCTCTTACAAGGAGGAGTACGACGTCTAGGAGACTCACCACCTGAAAGAAAAAAAAATATCTTAGTTATTTGTAACTACAGTTTAAAACTGTCTGAGAATATTATATAATATACATGTAATTTCAAACATGATCGGTTTTCAATAAAAAATGAAAACTCATACCTCCGGAACCACCACCACCTTGACAATGAATGAAAATTGTGAGATAAGTAAGACAGAAAAGTGTCTGATAAATAATACGCATTACAATATAAAACAATATAAATCTGAAATTATATGTATAATATGTTGAGTATTTATATTGTAATTGCAACAGCAACAAGAAATAGTTATGAGCTTACATTTAATTAATACGTTGTCAAAAAATTCTTCATTTTTTACCTACAGACGTCATTATGATAGACTTAGAATAGAACGAGATGAGATTTGAAGAATGAAAAAAGAAATGCGTTGACAGTTTGCATCATATTGACTTTAATGTAAAATAAAATAAAATAAAAAGAGAGCAAGTAATGCTGAAAAACACTTTTATCATCCGTAGAAACAATGATCAATCATGTAAACTCAACTAATTATGAACACCAGAGAGAGACTGACCTATTTTTCTTGGTGCTCGTGCAGAACGCAAGAAAATATCAGGATTGGCAGTAAGGCGACGTCAGAATTTTTACTTTAGAGGGGTTCAGTTTCTATTTATTTTGGCTGGAAGAGTAAGGGAGGGGTTTAGGCCCCTGAATCTTGTATTTATTTGAAAACATCATCAGTTTTTCATGAAAAGTTTTAAAAACCTGGGAGGCTCAGAGAGTTTTTAGGAGAATAAGCTGCCCTGTCACCCATCCTTGACGCCGCCACTAACTGGACAAGTGAAAAGACATTGTATTGATGAATCATATCTTCTTCTACTCATTGTCAACTTTGATTCAATAAGCTTTCCAATTAGAAAAGATTATTTGTAATGTAGTATAAAAGTGACCTTTTGAATCGGTGACACAGCAGTAATGTCGAAATTGACATATGAAGTCTTTACGTAGTTAACTATAACATGGAATAACATTTTGTGTAGATTTCGTTTCTTGTGTGATTATTTTTTTGATGATGATGATGAGAAAGAATACTACGTAGTTAATGTGATATGTTGTTATACAGGATATTTGCATATGTACTTACTGCATGAGAAAATAGCACCTCTAATTCCGACATTTAACTCTCTAGGAATCAAAACAATAGACTCTTTTGAAAAAATCAGTAAAAAATCAAAATATGTTTTCAATTATTTATTCATAATTTAATATTTTATATTATGTGATAAACATAAATATATTACTTATAACTTCAAAGATAAAGTTGTAAAAAGAAAAAAACCAAACAAAGAAATATTCACTTCAACAAATCAAATATTTAAACACTCTTTAATTTTGACAAAACAAAGGCATTTTTTCAAGTTTGAGTCAACAGGACCTACTTCACGGGATCCTAGTTACAAATAAGTACATACATAAACTCGAGCAGTAATGATTTGTTACATTGTTCATAGAAAAAAATATACATTCAGTTAATTTTTTTAATTGCAAACTAAGATGAATATGTAGAAAAGCATAAGCTAAAATATGCTACTAATTTTTGTATTTAACTATCGCATAGTTCAAATTCATAATTTGATCAAATACAACGAGAGATTTATAGCAGTTGATTATACATGCATTTACATTCTTCGGATGTTCCTCTTTGGATTTCATCTGTTGGTGCACTAATGTACTCTGAGTAACTAAGTATATATGAGTGTCGTTAGAAAGATGAGCAAATTTTTCTAGTAATGAAGGTTAATACTTTATTGTTGATGTCAGAATAAGCTTCGTCACCTATGATGTGTATTAGTAATTTAAAAAATATTATCTACTGTCATTTCTTATATTAATGGAGAATTTAATCAAAGTTTCATTCATAGTTATAGTTTTCTTCTAATAAACATGCGTTCATGTAGAAAATAGTGCTGGATAGTATTAAATCTATCCTTAAGATCACAAAATGTGTGAAAACTAAATTAGTACGTTTAGATCATTCAAAATAGATCAATCGTATCAACAGAATCATCGGATAAAGATTGGATAGCATCTACTATGACTAATGTATAAACCTATGTGAGAATATGTTATAGAAATATATGAGCAATACTTTCAATGTTTATTTTTTATAAACATGTATTTATCGTTATTTACATAAGAATAGTTTATTTTATTATAATTAGACTTTCTCGTATGGACGAAGTTGTTGTTGCTCATCGAGTTTCAGCTGAAATTTACCGTCACCATGATATTTCTTTGTTTGCACGTACCATTTTCCTTCAAATTGATTATTTTTTTCATTCCATGTTACTTGAATTATAACTTGATGACCTAAATTTTGAGATGGATCACCAGTTCCTAACTGATATTGTTTTGTTAGACCAATTCGATGTGTTTCATTAGAGTAAGTACCATCAATAGTAAATGAACCGATATCATCCACTCCTGAACCAGATACTGTCATCGACTGAGAATTAAATGAAAGTGAACATTGATAAGGCCCATGCCATTTATTATATTGATAATATTGACCGGACCAGGTACCCGATTGGAACTGATATCCATTATAGATATTTTCATGTGGATTTTTTGAAGTTCCTTTTCCGATAAAATTTGAGTTGGTTCGAAAGGGTCGACCTTTATAGCGTTTGCAGCACCATGAAACACCAAAGATTAAGAAACCCAATCCGACCATACCTCCAATAATACCACCTGTGATAATACCACTACGATTTCGGCATGCAGCAGTCGTACATGAACTACCACTTCCTCCATAAAATCCACCACCTAAAAGAAAAAAAAATACATCGAAGTTATTTGTAACTACAGTCTAAAACTGTCTGAGAATATTTTATAATATACATGTAATCTCAAATATGATCAATCCTTAACAAAAATAAAGATGCATACCTCCGGAGCCACCTCCACCACCACCACCACCACCACCGCCACCGCCACCGCCACCTTGACAATGAATGAAAATTGTGAGATAAGTAAGACAGAAAAGTGTCTGATAAATAATACGCATCACGATATAAAACAATATAAATCTGAAATTATGTGTATAGTATGTTGAATATTTATATTGTAATTGCAACAGTAAGAAGAAATAGTTATGAGCCTACATTTAATCAATGCGTCATCAAGAAATTATTCACTTTTTACCTGTAGACGTCATTATGATAGACTCAGAACAGAACGAAATGTGATTTGAAGAATGAAAAAGAAATGCGTGGGCAGTTTGAATCATATTGACCCTCATGTAGAATAAAATAAAAAGGAGGTAAGTAAAATGCTGAAAAATATCTTTATTTTCTGTCAAAACAGTGATTGATCCTTTTAATCTCAAATGTCATCTCGTAGATGATAAACAGAACACAAATGAAATATTTTGCGTTCTGTAGTCTTCTCTGACGACATATATCATATGATCTTTTCAAATTCAATTTGTTCATTAAACAGGATTCTTTTAAAAATAGTTAGTTCTCATATTTCCTCATGCTTAAAAATAGTAATACTAGATTTTAAACTCAACTAGCTATTAACATAGAACGCTAGAGAGAGAGAGACATTGACCTATTTTTCTTGGTGCTTGTGCAGGACGCTAGAAAATATCAATACTGAGAGTAAAGTGACGTCAGGTTTTTTATATCGGATGAGTTCAACCCTCATATCAGTTTTTCTTGACAAGTTTGAAAAATCAGGAGCGCTCAGACAATTTTTGAGCGACGTAGCCCCTCGTCACCCGTTTTTTGTACCGTCGGTAATTATAGGAATTAAAAAACATTGTATTTGATAATTCATATCTTCTTCCATGAATACAAAAATTTATTGTTTTGAGAAAGTTTTCTAAACAGATGAAGCATTATTTTAGAAATAATTAGCTACTTATGTATAATATTCTAGACATATTGTATTGATTTCATTATATTTTATCTCTAAATTAAGCCATTTATTTGATTCTGCAACTTGGTTTTATAGAAATCGAAACAAGAGATTCTTTTGAAACAAATTCAGTAAAAATAAAATATGTTTTCAATTATAACGTGAAGGGAATAAATATACTACATATAACGTCATAGATAAAGTTCTAAAAAGAAAAAGTCAAACAAAAAAATGTTCACTTTAACAAATTGAATATTTAAACACTCTACATTTTTGACATAAAACAAAATCATTTTTTCCAGTTAAAATCAACAGAAACCAACTTCACGGAATCCAAGTTCTAAATAAATACATGTATCAATTTAAATAGTATTGATTTTTCATATGCTTCATAGAAAAAAATATAGGTTCAATTAATTTTTTTTGATTACAAACTAAGATGAATATAGAAAAAAAGCATCAGCTAAAATATGTAAAATATTTTGGTATTTTATTGAAAAGATAAATAAATTCTTCTAGCAACAAAGGTTAATACTTTATTGTTAATGTCAGAATAAGAAGCGATTGATTTATATCAACATATAATGTCTTACGTAGGATTCCAGATTCATACATCGATACACAAAGCTTATCTCCTCAAATTCTGACAAATATATACACAATTTGCTCTCTGCAATCTTCCGTTATTTTCCATAAAGTTTCAATGCTTTTTGTTATCATCTTTTATAGATTTTGAGATTTCAGATTTCATTTGAAAAAATAACAATTTGATCAAATAGATTCGTTTTATATTCTATAATTAACGATGAAGACTGTTACTATTTGCAACAGTTTTCGTAAAATTTATTAGTTTTTTTTTCTTATTCATTATAACAATTTAACAGGAAGAGATTTCGATATTTGAGTACGATTTAACAAATTAGAACAATAACAAATTTCTCGGAATTCTGGTCTTTTATGAGCAATACAAGCTGATGTTTGTCCATATTTATTCATTCGACTTAAACGTTGTTTTTTAATAATAAATGTATCATTTAATTGATTATATTCAGCTGTTAATTCAAATTGACCATGTCCAGGTACAGTCTCAAATTGTATTTGATAATATTTCGTTTGAGTACTATCCAACGTTTTATTTAATATTTTCATTGTATTATTACGAAAATATGGTACACGACCATCTTTATCACTTGAACCCATAAATTTTAATAAACGTTCATTTGGTTCTAATTGACTTGCTTTATTTATTTGAAATAATGTTAATTTCGCACATTCTTTCTTATAATCTGATACAAAATCATTTAAATAATTAACAGCTTGTTGTCCAAATTTTTGTATAAGTACTTCCGTCGTTGATAAATCATTCCAATGAAGACATGCACACCAATGTTGTTCAATATTAGCTTGTGAACATGTACGATTTTCTGGTATTAATTGAAATAAACTATATGAACGATTACTTTTCGATTGATATGCGTCATTTGAATGAAATTCAAATAAATGTTCAAATGTTTCATGTAAATCAAATGGTGTTGTTAAACGATGTGAATTTAAACGTAAATTTGTCATTAAAGATGGATATTGTTCTTGAAATTTTTTTGGCATACGTATAGATACAAATGGTAAACGTTCTTCTAATTTACCTTGATAAGTTTTTCGTAATGTAGAAAATCGAGCACCATGATCAGTCATTAAAATAAATATTGTATTATCAAAATAACCACGTTCATACATTAGTTTCAAAAACTCAAGTAATTCATCATCACCATATGGTAAACGATTATTTGAATCATGTGAATATTGTGAATGGAAAACAAACGAAAATTTTGGTTGACTTGGATACATATCAAATAGATCACGTATCCAATTGAGCATTGATTGTAAACGTGTCATTGAACCAAAACAAAATGGTTTAGATGTACGCATTGATTCAGCTATAAGATAAAATGGACGACCATAATGATCAACTGGTTGATCACGAAAACCTTTTAAACGCATTTGGAATGTACCAACGTTTTGTAAATCTTCAGCCCATTGTGTAACATATCCATTATCTAAATAATGGAAATGAATTAGCGATTACTAATATTTCATTTTAGATTGAACGATGATATTTTTCTTTATAAGAAAGGAAAAAAACTCAACATCGAACTTTTGTTTGTTCAAGTGAAGATAAGAAAAACTTCATCCGTCTTCTCTAATAAGACTAATTTCGATCAAAACAATTTTTATAGCCTTTGCATAAGGAAATATTTGTTTGAGTGCATATACTAAGCACCACTTTTGTTGAATAGTGTTGTTGTTGTTATTTATAAAAGACGTTCTATTTCAAATAGATAGAATCATAGGGATTATCTTCTATAACAAGCAATTAATTGTCAATTGTTCATATAAAATATATATCCTCCGGCGTATTATTTCAATATTATTTACTATTTGTTTCATAGACAAAGATTTTGAAAGATAATATTTTATATATACCTTTAAATTTTTTCCAAATCCAAGGAAATCGATCTACTGTTTGTGCACCGATATGACCACGTCTAGCTTCCGGTAATTCTTTTTCCGTTTTTCCCGTTAAAATAGGTAAAAGTGCTGCTGGTGTACCATCACCGACAATATTATATCCTACAAATAAACTATATATAATGTTTATGTTACAATTTAACATTAAATCAAACCTTTCATTATAATACTGCCTAGCTCTTTAATTAAATAATTATAACTCTTCGGTAAAAAACGCATAAAAGTCATTCGAGATACAGAATCAAAACCAAACATTAAAACATTATACCCTAGATGAGTTTTAATCATTGGATTCCATATATGTCTAAATAAAAACAGATGAAATTAGCTTAAAAAAAAAGGATTTCTGAATAATATACCGCATATGTAAACCAGCATCAAACATAATGCCTGAATGTATATTTGAATAAAAACTTCCATCACGTGCTCGACAATCAGCACGAAAAAAATCAGATACAAGAGGCATTTTATCTACAATTGGAAATAATCGAGCACCTTCCATTGTTGAAAAATCATCTTTCGATCGAAGAATTGGACGATATGCACATACAATTGCTCCATGTTTTTGTAAAGCTTGTTGAGATAATCGAAAAGTACCTTTAAAAAAAAATCTTTTTTTTCTTCTTAAGTAAAATTTAATTCAACATACCATTTTCAACATATACCCAATTTGTTGCTTTTTCACAATCTGGTTTATGTTTCCTTACTGGTTGTAAATGTTTCCATATATCTGGATTATCAATAGTTAATCTTGGATATGAACAAGCCAATTGTGTTGCATTAAAATATTCTTTATGTATTAAATGAATATTTTTTGTTGGTATTATATGTGCATCATCTAAATCATTTTCATCAATGTAATAGATTCGATCGATTTCATTTCGTTGTTGAAGGAATACATAAGAAAAATATTTTTGAAAGAATATCATTGTTAAAATTGTTGAAAATATTGTTAATGAAAACAATAATGTATGAGTTACATAATAACGTCGACAACGACGACGACGTATTTGCATTATCTTTTGTTTTTAGAAAAAAATTTAATTGATTTTCTACATTGATATGCCCAATAAGATTTTATAATCATCAGATATTCGTGTTAATTTATTTGGAGCATTTCAAAACACACTCACAAATAAATGAAAGCTAAAAAAGAAATAATATATACTTGTCAATGATCGATTTAGTTTTCTTAATAATTATAGATAAGTTTGGGATTCAAAGAAAAAAAAGAATTTTTTCTATATGACAACTTCCTTTCGAATTAATATATAAATAATGCATATATGTGCTTTCGAGCGCATATAGACAAACTTCCTACATGATATTCAGTGTATGAATAAATTCTAAGATTATTTTTATTACAATACAAATATTCTTACCCAAACATATGTGTGTGTGCATATATACAAATATAGATAGCATTATTCTTCTATTTCCTATATAGTAATGTGGTAGTCAGTATAGTTTACCAAACCGGAAGAAAGAATAGCAGCGTAGCGATGTTCTTATGAACAAGAAGTACTGTCGAACTGTTACGCCCGTCATCGCTGCTTTTCCCAGAGATAGACGATGACGAATCATTAGAAATAGATAGTATAGTCTATGCATTCTTCGTCATCATTAGCTAGCGTCCGCATCATTCATAGCATCATAACTAGTTCGATGCATGTGAGGGTGTGTGTGTGTGAATTTCTCGTGTTCGCTTAATGACAGTACCAATTACATCGGTTTTTCTGTTCTATTCTGCTTCTTATTCGATGAATATCTTCGTCGTAGTCGATCGTCTTCTCTATTCTCCTCTTTTTTCCTTATTCTTTCATACTTTTTTTCGCGAAAGTCCCATGCTGATGTGAAGCTAGTTTTTATCGCTTTTCTCTTATATTATCCTAAACGTTAACCTTTTCTCCGCATACTCAAGAACAATGTAAATGAAACAAGAACGAGAAAGAAGCGGACAAACTATATCGTAGGTTTGACTTGCGTGTCTACAAAAACATACGCAGCTATGTATGTGTGTATATTTATATAGACCGATTGGTTTATTAATAAGAAGAAAAATGTGAACGGAAAATAAATCTATGTTAGCAAGCAATCGTGAGCATAGAAAATTACTCATTCCGTTTCATTGAACCATGTTGATAAGGAAATGATTGAAAAAAAAAGAAATGCAGTCAATTGAGTTTTGTAGAAATGTATGTTATACGACCCGTCATTTCATTTCCGATTAGCCTATTGGTATTACATATGCATTCAAATAAAAAAAGATATCGTCAAAAAAATTCAATATATATTTTTTTCTTTTGATATTGATACTCTTCATATGGAAAAAAAAGTTCATTACTTTCCTGTTAATTAATCTATAGTATGTGATTAAAACAGAAGTGAAAAAAGTTTAATAATATCTAATTATTGTATTTATTCATTTGAAACTATAAAATGAATAGAAATATTTGTTCAATGAACAATTAGACAAAGGAAAAGTAATGTTTGAACACAACGTATAATATTATGTACAAGAGAAAGGAAATAAGGTACATCGGGTACTACTTTTGAATACTATAAATTACTTTCAGAATCATTATTTGCCAATATATAATCTTAACATGATACATCTATGAGCTTTTTCACTTCGAGATAAAATTTAAAATATTTTCATCAAAAAAAAACTTTGTATATTTTTTTCATTCAATCGATTAAATAATCGTTTTCATCGTAGGCTGAGTTATTTTTTCTTCTTAATGTACATCCTATAGTATGAATCAAATATATACACTATTATAATGTATATGAGTAATATTTTGACTCAATTCAATCGCCATCATTGATTTTTTATTGTTAATCCAATGTTTCAATAGTATAAAAAAAAGGTACTTTCTTCTCCATTGCTTCAATTATATCCAAGTCGAAAACATGTCAAAATTGTCAATAGAATATTTTTATATATTAATTCGTAAGTAAATTTCCTGGAAATATGTAACTTTTTATATCCTTTTATTTAGTTATTTGTCATCCTATAAATAGTGATACAATAACAAATCAACCAGTATCTAATGTAACTCTATCGCAAATATCATTATATACATCACAAATTATGAATCGAACTGCTATCATGATAATAGCACCTATTTTATTAAACAATAATGTAACAACAACTCAACAACCACATACTAATATTTCTACAAAAACTAATTCATATATAATATTAATAATTCTTCTTCTTCTTTTTTTTCTATACAATTATATTTAAAAAATACTCTAGACGGTAAAAGAATGACATAATAAATAGATAAAAATAACTTAAAACGAATAAATAATTTTTTGATTAAAAATAAAAATTAGAAAACAATAAATAATGTTAAAAATAAAAACAAGAAAAAGGCACAATTATAATAGCAATAAAAATTAACTTAAAGAGCACGACATTTTGGTGTATTACCTTCATAAACACAAGTAGTACCTGATCGACAATCAATTGGACACCAACGATAATCTCTTGGCATTAATTTTTGTTCACAGAGTACGCCAGTTGTACTATTTTTACAAACACATTTATGACCATCTTTTGTTGATATACATTCACCATTTTTACCACATGGACTTGGATTACATGTTCGTGGTCGATTAACTAGAAAATACAATACAAATACATTCATTTTTTTTTCTGCTTGGAAAACTTACTTAATTCACAACGTTCACCATAATAGGGTTTTGGACATGTACATTGTGGACCATTTTCATTAACAAAACATTCACCACCATTCATACAAGTTACATTTGCACATGGAGCATTACTCATAGCACGTTTACGAGCTAATTTTTCAAATAGGAATTTTTTTTATCGAAATATACAATTAAATAAAACTTACCAAATTGACAATAATAACCAGTATAAGTAGTTGGACAATAACAACGAGCTACATTTTGAAGAACAGCACAACCACCATTGTTTTGACATGGATTAGGAAGACATGGATTGACGACTGTAACAACTGGTTGTGGACATGGACAAATAATACAAGCACATACTGGTCGAGGTTGTGGGGTTGTAATTAATGTTTCACAATTACTACCGGTGAAAGGAAATGAACATTGGCAAAGATAACCAGTTGTAGTAGCAACACATGAACCACCATTATAACTAAAAAATAAATGTCATGTAAAAAAAATAAGAGTATTATTTATTTTTTTACCATGGACTTGGTATACAATAATTACGAATTTCACAACATGGACCATAGAAACTTGGTGTACATGAACAAACAAATGCTAGAAAAATGAATATAGATTATTTTTTCTCCTTGAGAATATATTTTACTTGTTGGACTTGTTGGTGTACAAGTACCACCGTTAAGGCATGGTTGTGATGCACATGGATTTGGTGGTGGAATTAAAATAGCACAAGTAGGTCCAGTATATTGTGGTGGACATTGACATTGAAATGTATTACCAACAACTAAGCAAATACCTCCGTATAAACATGGATTTGGATCACATACACGTAATTCGCATCGAATACCATTGAAACCATTTGGACAGACACATCGATAAGTATTAAATCCAGCTACTTGACATGTTCCCCCGTTGAAGCATGGATTTGCATAACATGGATTTGTAGCAGCTAAGTTTATTTCACAACATACACCACTGAAACCAACTGGACATGAACAACCGAATGTTCCTTGACGAAGATAACATGTACCACCATTTTGACTAAAACAAACACCGATATGCAATTCAAAAAGAATATTTCATGAATCAATTTTTTACCATGGACTTGGTTGACATTGATTTGGTGGTGCTTGAAGAACAACAGCTACAAGCAAAACAAGATATTAATTCAAATAACTAAAATTTATAACAAGAGCTCGATTTTTAGTACTTTTAATGCTCTGACAATGACTACTATCGAGATTGTCTATACATTTATTTTCATAAACTTACGTATTACTTGACATTGAACACCAGAATAACCAGTTGGACATCGACAACTAACTGTTTGAGCAACAATTGAGCAAACACCTTGATTTTGACAATATGATGCACAACCGAATTGTTTTGGTGTATTGGCAGCTGAATCTTTTGTTGCAATACCTTTTTGTGCTGGTGATTCAAGTGCATTTGCATCAGCTTCAATAGTCGGATATTCATCATCAGTTTGAGTAACATTAGTACTAATTGTGACTTCTACATCATATATAAATATATTCTAATTTTAGTAGATAAATAAATAATTCTATATTTACCAATTCGATCTGTTGAATCATTACAATTTTTAACTAAATCTTTGTCAACACATGTTTTTAATTCAGGTACATAAGCTGTACCAGTAGCACATGTAAATAAAACTCTTAAATTATGAAAACAACGAACAAATCGTTGACAATTTGAACGATCACCAACAAGATCACGACATTCTTGTCCTTTTATTATTATGAAAGGAGAAGAAGAATTAAAAAAAAGAAAAATTTTATATTTTCAAAAAACTTACGTTTTGATTTAACATCTGCAGTTGTTCCTTGTATAACAAGACAAACAACAACAATAATAATAAAACGATTCATTTTCGTTTCCACTTATGTATTCTTATAATCAAAAAAAGTAATTGATCAAACACCGGGTTATCGAAATAACGACGTATATATATATATATTGCTATTAAACTCGACTAACTGTGAGAGAAGATAGAATATTTTTTTTTGTGAGCTTGTCATCACTATTTAAAGTCATCATCGTTCGCTCGACATTTTCTTGTACGTACGAGAAATGTCACATTGTTTTAACCACCCTTCAAGATTAAATCATCCTATGCACGTATGTACTTGTTTTACAAACAAATACATAAACATCACGTTGGACATATGCGTCAAAACAATACTGATTTTTATCAATGCCAAATGTGTGAGTTAATACATTCTTTTAATTTTCGTTCTTTCAAGGTTTGATCATGTTTTGATTACATTATATATTTTGTTCACCTTGAACATTATCATGTTCGAGACAGAGCTCTTCTCCTCTCTTTTTTTTTATTATAATCTCAATTTAAATGTGTATATCCTTTTTTGTCTATACATGTAGTTCATGGTCGATGAATGTGATTAATTTTTTCAAAAGGTTATAAAGATAAATATTAGAAATAAAAAAAACTTATCAAGGAGAAAATAAAACTAGAAGGTAATTTACCCTTATTAGAAAATTTTTGTTTTTTACGAAAAAAAACAATTATTATATACAGAAAAAGCTATTCAAATCATCTTGGATTTATCAATTCGATCTATTTAAGAAATTCATCAGTTTAATGATACAGTAAAACCTCTCGATAATAAAATCCTCTGTTTTATGAACGGTCTCAAGTCTGACGGAGCGATTTTTACTGGATATGCATCTCTTTATTCTGAACAGTGAACGATATTTTTCGGTCCCATCTCTGGTGTGAACATATATACGATGTTTTTTTGACCTCTTTCTGTCATATATTTTGATGAGCTACCTAATTCGAATATAAATGGTGAAATTTAGGAATAGATTCAGTTTTACTGTAAGATGTATATGATTCATATATACGACCAAGGGGTGGGTGAGGGGGATTTATCTGAAAATTATTCTAAAACTAAATCTACTCCTAAAAATAGTTTTTTTAAGATCCGTTTATATTCGAACTCGAATTAGGCACCTTCTTAATTTTTGATTATTTTATTTGTTAGATGAAAAACTTTACTTGTTTTATTGTTAAAACAAATACATCTATCTTTTATATATTGTCACAGTTATAAAAAAAAATGCAATACAATAGAAAACAAATATAAACTAGCGGACAAAATATATCAATCATCTTTTTTATTAGTTAATGTTTTTTCTTTATCATCTGACTTATTTGGTAATGTTGATATGTCGTCATCTTCATCTTCATCTTCGTCTTCATCACCTTCAATATTTTCAACATTTTTCATCTGTTCATAATTATATTCTGTTTCGTTCATCATGCCTTCATTTGGTAAACAACATAAACAATAGCAAACAATTGATAAAACAGATGCAGGAAGACCAATAACAAGCATTGAAATAAATGGTGCTTCAATAAACATTGCAATTACAGTTCGATATAATTCCCAAAATGGACGAATTAAACGTTTTGACCATGTATTACCCGTATGACAAATAATTTGTGAATAATTAGAAATAATATAATTAAGAATCGGTTCTATTTCAATCTTATCATTGATTATAGGTAACAAAGGATAAATACCATATTTACGATGATCACTATCATAGAGAAATACAAGTGGTTCTTCAACTGTCCATACAGCTAGAATAAACATAATGGAGAATTTATCGAAAAACAAAAACTATATGTACCAATATTACTAAGTAGTTCAAGATCATTTGTCCATGCAAATTGGAATGTATCATGAAGTAAAGAAGTATAGTTAGTCACATAACTATATATCTGAGATTTAACATCGTTTCTAAAAATATCTTCTATTACAATCCGTTACTGAAATTTTCATTTCTAACCTTTTTTGTACTCGACGAGAACCTTCGGGTTCTTGATTAAATCCATAAATAATCATGATTTTTTTCGTTAAAATTAAATCATATATATTTCCAGCTGCAATTTGTGGAAAACTTGCAACTTTTTCTTTAATAATAAATTCTTCTAAACTATTATTATAAATATGTGGTTGATAGAGATAAATTTCTTCATTTTTAATTGCAAATATTTGAGATTTATCATCGAATTGATATTTCGAAAAGAATGTTTCGATAATAGCTGATGTATTTGTTGCATAGAAATAAGCTTGACTTAAATATCGATTAACAATATCTTCATATTCTTTTCTTAATTGATCATTATTATCATCTTCATCAATTGTTGGTGTTGTTACAAGTAGAAAAAAAACTTCATGTTCATGACGTTTTTCATTAAATCTATCAATGGATGATATCCAACGTAATGCTGGTCCGTTAACACGTTTTAAAAAATTTAAAATAGCTACTTTTGATCGTTCATTTTCATAGGAATATATTTGTGAACCACGAATAAATTTTATTGTTGGAAAACCACGTATATCATAATAATTAGCAACGTCAGAATAAACAGTTGCATCAATACGTACAATACGAATATCTTTTAATTCATCAATATCTGTTGATAAATCATTCACTTCTTTGGCTATTTCTTCATAAACAGGTTCGAAATGTTTACAATGTCCACACCTAAATAAAAATAAATGTAACAAATTTGATAAGAAAGAAAAAAGAGAATACAAACCATGGAGCATGAAATTTAATTAAATAACCAATTGATGGATTTTCATTGATTTCATTAATAATAGATGAATCAACATCAATTACCCATTTTGCATTAATACCAATGAAATATTGTACAAACAATATTCCATACAAGATAAATAACATTATTTCTATTCAATCTATAAGATAAATAGTCGTTGAATCATCTATATATAGGAAGTTAGTGGATTTTAAATTAAGTTTAGACATACACCGGGGGGAGAAAGCATGGTAAATCGTAAATCTCCGAAGGGCAAATGCAATCTTCGGGGGGTGTAAAATGTCCCATGACCCCTTTCAATCAAGATAAAACATCAAGGCGAAGTTAAAAGTACCCTCCAGTTCATATTATATTTTAATAAAAAAGATAGTATCTTTCCTATTCGTTAGCTTAACAGTATTCTCCTAAAGAAGAAATAAAGCAAGATTTATAAACAATTGTTGTATCATTTAACTGGAGCAGTGATTCTTTTTTTTATCACAATGCGGGATATAAAGAAGAATTCATTTCTTTCAATCATCATCATCGTAGTCGAAAACTTGAATAATTGCTTCTCAACACTTTTTTTTCCATCAATGAGAATGTCTCTTTTAAATTGTATTCTACATTATCTAATAATTTCAAAAACAAACAAACAATTTTATTTTTTTTTAGACATCGTTTTGTTCAAGGAACAAACATAAGTTATCTAGAAAGAAAAGAATTTTTACCAGTTGAAGAGAAAAAGAAAACAATCCTGTAATACAGTTTAACAAGTAAATATATAGAAGATTATTTGAACATAAACCCTCAAAAAAAAACAACATGTACACATCACAGATTATCCTATTTTTTGTGTTCCAGTCAAACAATGAACATTTTATGAGACATTTTTTTAGAATTTCTTATTTCTTGTTGGTAAAATTGTATCTTGTATTGATCGCATACATGCTAAAAGTCCAACTTTGTTAGCTCGTTTTTTAAAATAATTTGTTACAACATCACCACCATTATTAAGCATAGGATCTTGATTATATTGATCACGTTGTTTATCAGCATATTGTGGTAAAACATAATCATTTGCTGATAATGATAATACAAAACAAAATGGTACCATCCAAACAAATATTGTAAAATAGGAAAGTATTTCTGGAAATGGATAATAATGACTATTAAAAAATGAAAATGCAAAATAATGATGGATGACTAATAGAAGCATAGAAAAAAGAAATGTTGGTGACAGGAAACCAATAACAGGAAAATCTGCTAAGATAAAAAAATAGATTATATTTGATATAAGTCCAATAATACAAAGTGTCCATGTAAATTGTGTTTCAAATAAAAACAGGCAAATATTAAGTATTGTAACAGTAATAAGTATAAGACGTATAATACGTTTTGCAATGGATGTATATTCTTCAATAAGTTCAGCAACATAATACATACCAGCTGCAACAGCGATAGTCAAACAGATAGCAATAAGAATAAATGAAACCCAAGATAATGCATACATGAACCACATGATCGAATTTTTAATAAATTATGTTTTAGAAACAATTGTGTAGTTAAAATTAAATATCTAGAAAAAAATAGATTGACGTGGCGTTGTTAAAAAAAACAATTTTTTCTAACTTTCTTATTCATTGACAATACAATGTAACTTCATAAATTTTTCTCATTGGTTAACAAATAGAACGGCAGTATGGATAGATGACGCTCAAATAAAATAATACAAATAAAGAATTAAGATATTTCAATTCTACTCGTTGCAGAAATTCGACTTTATTTTGAGATCAATTTGCATGAATATATAAAACAAGAATTTTATGTTCAATGCATCAACCTACTTTACAATCTTCATTGATATCTAGTAGGTGATCAGTTGAACATATTGATTAGACACTTAGAACCTAGGACCAAAAACTCGAATATCGTAATCATTAGAAAAAGATTCTACCGGATATAAATTTGATATAAGAAATCATCCCTATCAATGTCGCTTTATGCCAAATTGATCCATAGAAAATATTTGTAAATTCATTTACACCTTAGCTGTTAAAATATTATATCGATATCCTTAAAAATCGTAATTCAAGAGCACAACTTTTATATGAATATAATAAATTAGTCATTGAAAATATATCGATGATAAATGATATGAATCCGTACTAGTTCTCAAAAGTTCTTCTCTTATTTTTCTCGCTTATCAGAAGTTCAAGGTGAACAAGATCTTGACTAATTAACAAGAAAATCAAGATTCTGGGAAGAATTAATGAATTTTCTATAAATTCAGACATGGTTCTTGGTAGGAAAGAAAAAGAAATTCTTGGTTAATTTTCTAGATAAACATCAAGTGCTGTCTTTGTATGCATGTATTTATATATATATATATCAATGTCTATGCTTTATTTGTTCATTTTTAAACGAGAAAAGATTATGTGTATTGTATTCGATTTAATGAGAAAATGAGTCTATTCAAACAACGTTTTAGTTGCATGCCAACAATAGGTAAGTCAAAATATTTTAGAATAATGATACACATCGAATCGAACAACAAATATGAAGAAGACGAATCTTAGTAACCTGTATTTTTACTCATGTAGATATAATGTCTTTGATAGTTTTCTTTCTTTATTTTTATGTAAATACGCTATTTTTATTCTCTATTATTTTTTAAATAAACATGGCACATACAAGAAAAAAAAAGGAAACCCGGAAAGGGTCATGTAACAAGTTTAAGAAATCAAAGAGCGAGGCAAGAACACAAGGATCCTGTCTACAAGAATACCATAAGAATGTTTAGATATAATTTTCCGGACAAGAATCTTGTCAAGAAGGAATGGTAGAAGAATTTTGACTGCTAACTAAGAGAATCTGGAAAGAGGAGAGACAAGATCATCGTCGATCGGCTAGTGTTTCTTATTAGTATGAAAATTCAATAGATGTCGTTCATTTACAATGACCATCACATATAAAAAAACGATTCGTCTGCTGACCGCAAACAATCATTAAATATTGTTGTTATTTTTTTAGTAGTTTTGGGTTATATTATCGGTTTTAATCAGTAGTCATAGATTTTAATTGTTTTATTACTCATAAATTCATATCTCTAATATCTAAGTAGTTTTATATACGTATGTTCACATTATTAATTTTACTCTTTTTTCTTTTTCTCTTCTTCCTCCGCTTCTTCTATTATGCTTCTTTTTTTTTTTTTTTTGTATCAATAATTGAAGAGAGGTAACATGTGTTTGACAACGCAAACGGAATACAATACATAGACGACCTTTTTTTTTGCAAACTATAGGGTGTCCTTGTTAATGAATGGCATAATTTTGTTAGTCAAAAAAAGAGATAGATAGGTCTTCTTATCTATTAATTTAATTTGTTTTTACATAACTCTATAATATTTGCAAATGACTTTTGTCACCGAGCTTTATTCTCCCTTTCTCTTCTATCTATATTTTATTCTTTGTTTATTTGATAGACTCTTCTCTTTATCCGACGTCATTCATGTCGTCATTTTTTACATAACAACAAA